ATCTCTAAAAACCATATTTCTACCGACTTGCAAATGTCATACTGTTGCTGTCAAAGGACGGTCGTAGATAGAATCATTCTGTTACAAAGAGTGTGTGTGTGTGTGGACAGTTGAAGTACTATTGATTCGCAGTATTATGGAAGAACCGAAGGGATCAAAGGTTCACGTAGCGCGTAGGAAAATAGAAAAGAATTGCAAATGGTAAGCCAAGAAATGGAATATCGATTGGAGGTTTTTAGCTATAAATGTAACAATTACGTCCGGACATGAGACATCGTTTCAAACTTTTTCCGTACATCGAAATACGTATCGAACGTCACACACTATAATTATATCCGATATCAACCATCGTGGTTCAATTTATTTCGACGACATATTTCTCTTCATGTTATTCGATTTCCATTCATTTACCATTTATATCTGTCAATCTAATTTGACTGGTAAATAAACAAAGTTGGATATTTTTCATTAGTTTCTCGATACTTTATATGGCAGAAATAAGAAGGAAATAGCGTTAAATCATCCAATCGCGTAATAAATGACTCTTTAATGGAATCATGAAACCATGTTTCATTTCACTAATCGTATTATTCTCCCTCCGCGAGTGCCAGCAAAAATATTTTCATTTAGAGATGTACATCTTGTTGTTCATCACGTTCGGAGTTGGAACATTAGTCTCGTTATCGCGTACGCTTTTGCTCCAACCTAATTTCCCAGAAGCGAAAGCAATTAAAACGCGGTCGTGTCAAAGCGCGATGAACTTAACGTGTCTCTGATGACGAAGATACCGCAAGGATCCGGTTGTACGATCGTCGTATACCTACTATACGTGCACCCGTATGTAGGATGAATCCATATTTCATAGGGTATCGCGCGGGGCGACATGACGTCTTTAAACGGACATGATTATTATCGCTGTCTACGTACAACCGGCTGATCGATACACTACTATTGTGCGCCGCCAAGTTTCTGCTTTGAACTTCAATTTGGCCTCGTTGTCGGAACCTCAGAGTATATATCCACGATTGTTTCTAAAAAAAAAAGCTCTATCTCTACACCGATATAAATCATACCAGCTGCAGGCCCGTTCAATTTTCGGTCGACAATCAAACATCCACAAACGGATAGATGAAATATTATTTGCATATAAAAGAGAAGTAGTAGAAAGGCACAGGATTATTTTTATTCATTAATTAATTAACTGATGAGTCAAGATTTATAATTAAGATCGACCTGAAGATAATTATAATTCTTGTTTTGTGGGTATTGTATGATCTGGTGAAAGCATCAAATAAATGCGTTAACCTTTGAGAATGCCTCGTTATAATCTTATTTCGAATTATGCTGCATCTACGCAAAAGAAGAGTGAGTTTAATGAAAGTTTCATGCCACAAAGGGGTTCTTCCTTTTACGATTTCTATGCCGGTCTCACGATTTCAATCAATCATTCCAAATATCCTGCGTGACCTCGATTACCGGCGGCAATAAAACGTCCGTGTGTAACACTTTAAATCGGCCCTATCAACCGCCATAAATCTCGCAGTCGTGTCAAATCATGCTCGCCGCGATGCGATGTTCCGATGGAATACGTTTCATCAATATAACTAATCGGCGTCGAGCACCTGTATTGAACAAATTTCGATGGCCTCTTCATGTATCATGATAGATAACACTCGAAACTGTATACTTTCCTGATTACATTAAACGAGTGCTATAAAAATTATTATACCAAATGAGTGTTGTAATAATTATTTTATAATTGAACGTGTATTCCAAATAAATGGTTGAACACATAATCTCTCAATTTTCTGATCTTTATTTTCTATATAAAATGAATGTCTTCATACATAAGATAATAAAATCCAACAATAAAATCTGAACGGAGGTGGTTTTCAAATCTGTTACAGGCTGTGCTCCTTGACCCTGACCAGGCTGGTGATTCTGCGGCCGTTAGGTTCCGATTTAACCTCGATTAGCATCGCGGTGAAGATGCAGAGCTCTAAGAGGACCCTCCGTTCGAACGAGATGGCAATCCCGACCGGCGGCTTGCTGGACACCGAGCTCGAGCTACAGTTCGCCCTCCAGTATCCGCATTTCCTAAAAAGGGACGGCAATAAGCTGCTCATACAACTTCAGAGGAGGAAACGATATAAAAACCGTACGATGCTTGGGTACAAAACTTTGGCCGAGGGTGTCATCAATATGGCACAGGTAAGTGTATCGATTCTACTGAGTTACAGCTGAGAAGGTATAAAGAGTGAATCATCACTTGAAAATTATCGATCAGATCGCTAATGTCTTCGTACATAAGATAATAAAATCCAACAATAAAATCTGAACGGAGGTGGTTTTGAAATCTGTTACAGGCTGTGCTCCTTGACCCTGACCAGGCTGGTGATTCTGCGGCCGTTAGGTTCCGATTTAACCTCGATTAGCATCGCGGTGAAGATGCAGAGCTCTAAGAGGACCCTCCGTTCGAACGAGATGGCAATCCCGACCGGCGGCTTGCTGGACACCGAGCTCGAGCTACAGTTCGCCCTCCAGTATCCGCATTTCCTAAAAAGGGACGGCAATAAGCTGCTCATACAACTTCAGAGGAGGAAACGATATAAAAACCGTACGATGCTTGGGTACAAAACTTTGGCCGAGGGTGTCATCAATATGGCACAGGTAAGTGTATCGATTCTACTGAGTTACAGCTGAGAAGGTATAAAGAGTGAATCATCACTTGAAAATTATCGATCAGATCGCTAACACTTGGTAACTGAAAATTCATTACCAAAAATGGGGGAAATTCAAACAAATTTTCTTCAATTAAATGAATTATTCCAGATGGTTTTTATTTATTCATCCTGTGTTTGTTTAATTTGCTCATTCCAATTTTTATTACAATTCATTGTTCAGAATTCTTCAAATCAATTTCTTCAGAAATACAAGGAGAGTCTTCCGTGTTTATTCTCTTCAGAAAACTCGTGCGTAGAAAATGTGCTTGTCGCGACTAGTGAGTTTGATTAATCATTCTGGAAAGCTATAAATAAAATAATCATTAGACGAGCNAAAATTAAAGGGAAATGAAATGAGAATTTCTTTTTATTAATTAATATAACTTTCTACATTCAAATGTAGAGTTCAATTACCTGAGGGAACTGTGCGTTAGTTAGCAGTAAGTTTAATCATTAGCATCGAGTCTGATTCCGGTTCTTCAAATGGGGGCGAAGTAAGTGTTAATGGGAAGAGAGAGAGAGATAAAGAGAAGTTTGGGAAAGTAATAGACTATAGAAGTCTCGGTTTTCTGAAATTTTGGCTGAAATTGTAGAAGTCTGAAAGAACGTGAGAAAAATTTAAGTGGAATAAAATGAACTAATTAATCGATTACGCCTGAAGTGTTCGAGACAGAAAAGAAGTTACGGACACTGCTACTTTTTAGTAGTATTTCCCTGGAATTAAAACTAAGAATGGCAATAATAGCTTTCTTATACGGTCTGTCTTTCGCGAGTAAATTGCTTTTTTACGATCGGGCAATAAAAGCTTGTAGGTCAATGCAAAGTTGTAATGAGATATAGGAACTGCGCTTCTGATATATTTTACGACTTGAATAATTCTTTTACGATGATTCATTAAGATCGAGTAAAATGCTTTAGATTAAAAACAAGGAACAAAAGAGTTATAACTATTCGAATCATCGCATTTAAGGATGTATTGGCTATACAGTCAATCCCAAAAGTTTATGTACTTTAGAAAAGCTCATTTCCTATAATTAAAAAGAAATCAGACGTCGGAAGAACAATGCTAATAATAAATAGCTACGTGCTAAAAAGTATAGAAGAAAATATCCAATTAATTATTGTCGTTGGCGAAAAGCTTTTTATACAGAAGTTGGACGCACTGATATCCTCTACAACGAAAGATTTTATGCATTTTCCTTCTAATTTTG